AAAAAATTTATTCTTAGTAAAATCATACTTGTAAGCCATGATTTAGTGCTACCATTGAGAATACTGTTTTGATTGTTGCGTATGGAGGTAAAAGTCTTAACTGTATGCCAGAAATCATAGTCCAAGCAAGATTACTATCTTCTTCATCACTSACTTCAACAACAAGCTGCATGTCACGGTTTCTGAAAATAATATGTGTAAATTATCCAATAAAAAGTTATTAGATGATCTTTACTAAAAAAAAACCATTGATTGAATATATTTCTATTTTTTTTTTTAAATAATCTGACAATATTGTAATTCACAAATTGTCACATTCTATTAAATTTKTCGATTCAAGTGAATATTTTATGAAAACTAATAAGTATAGATAAATTTAAAAAAAATATTTACTTTAGTTACATATTTTTAATAAAATAACGTAAAACTTATAATGTTGACCCCCATGTCAATTATGATACTAAGTTGTGGAATAAGCTTAAAATGTATAAGTTTTGTAGATTTAATAATCAGTACATTTTATTATTGAGACTGATAGTTTTGTACATTATACTATTTTTTAACACAAATTACATTTCAAATATCATATCTAATTCTTTATCAATACAATACTTAATTTTTTTTTTTAAATTATATAAGTTTAAACTTACCTGTTATTTTTTATCGAGCAAGTGAAGTCAAATTGTTCTTCACAAAACACCATATCAGGTAAGTATGTTATGGAAAACGTTATATCATCTAATTCTGGAATCTATCAACATATTTTAATGAGGTACAATTCAATTTTTTAAATAGTACTACGATCAGTGTATACATATATTAATTTGATAGTTCTTTCTTACAACCATATTCAATTTAATCCTCAACATTGAATTAGGTAAAATAATGGATATAAACAAATAATTACCTGTCTCACTAATGGACTGGATTGTATTTGACCTTTAGTACCCATATTAGACCGCCATAAAATATCCAACTTGCCAAGATTATTTGTCCTAGTTGGATTTTTTTCAGAAGTTTGATCTAAGCTTAATCTATACATATATTGYCGTGTTTCTTTCACATCCAGTATGTCCATATCTCCAAAAACAGATTTATCCTCTGAGCTTTCAAGTAAGTGATTCATTGAATTAACTRTATTAAAAAAATACACGATTATTATTAATAGTAATGATAAAAATATCAAAATTACCATTATATCCAATTGATGATTCTAAGATAAATTTTTCTAATGAGATCGGAGTCGACATAATATTTTGGACTTGAACTTCAAGGTAAACTTCATCAGTCTGAAATGAGTATAATAATGAACATCTAAGGTAAGTATTACGTTTATATTTTATGCATTTGTAATTTATTGAAACATATTAACCGCTAAAATGCTTACAACAGTATTGTAAAATTTTGTTTTTAGATCTAAAGGTTTTGGAACTCTATAACTGAAAATTGTTTCAAAYGAATGTTTTCTATCATATTCCACTTGACAAATCAATCTACTAAAAAAACATAAATTATTGTATATTAATGATATAGTAAATTAATTTTAGCACAGTTCATACTTGACACTACCGTGTTCTTTGACTTCGTGCTTAACAATAACATCAATAGAAGCATATGGATCCAACTTGGGAAAAGCTTTTGGTCCCAAAATCGGTATATGAGACGTTGCAGTATCTATTTCTGCTTTTAAAATAATATCATACACTGTTTGAGAACTTTCATTCTTCAAGTAAACATAACACAGAAATGTTTCACCCAGATACAAATTTCTARGAAACGTTAATATAAATGCATTAATAGATTAATCATCACTTTTTAAAATTTATTTACTCTAGGACATTAGGAACCATGAGAAACGACCCAGCCGCCAATGTTTCTGCATCAGCCAATGTAGTCACATCTTTTTTTAAATGTGCATTCAAGGCACTTCCTGGTAAATCTTTTGAATCACAAGTGACTATCTTCGAGTTAAACATGACTGGCTTACCAAGCCGCATTACTAAGATAAAATATTTAAAAAATGTTCATAAAATCGTTTGAAAATKCTTTGATATAAACGTCTTAWGTACCTCTCAATTTTATGGGATGTTCGACAACTTCCTTCACTTCTAATGAAGTCATGATGAAGTAAAATGATTATTTCAACAGAAATACCGAACGCAGATAATTAATGACGCATGAAAATGAGTTGACAACTTTCGAGTTTCGAGGTTTCGACTGCAACGATAACAATTTTTTTACTTACAATTTGCAATTTACAAAACGCACAGGGTCAGAAGATGCCTGAGGAGAGCACGAACTAAGATTTTGTCATGCTAAGATCTTAGTTCGTGGTGGAGCTCCCGTTAATCTAAAATCATTGCCATTTATCACTTGGCACTTATCAATTCTGATAAGGCCCGTTATCGCATTACTGAATAGTAAATACAGAATAGATTAAATCCGAAGGGACACTTTCTATTGCCTATAGATATCTTCCAAGGAGTTTWAGTAAAAATATTTTTCAGGATACAAGTCGACTTGTAGGGGAAATAATAATATATTGGGGGTGGAATGGCCGAGCGGACTAAGGCGTCGGTTGCGACGCACGCAGTCGCCGGTTCGAATCTCGGTCACTGGCGACATTGCTCTTTGRGCATTTCGCGATGTCTGGAGAGAGAGCCCGCGGGCCCCCAACCGGGCATGGCAGAAACCCACGGGTGCCCATTCAAAATTCTGCCAAAAACCCACGAGTTAAAAACCTTACAGTTCCTTCCCCTACAGTTCCCCAGGCTAATGACCTCAGTTGTCGAAGCCTTAACCATAAAAAAAAAAAAAGCGGGTAAGTCGTGGATGTCGCTCTGCTGTACAGTAGGT